AAACCCTTTGATTGATCAGCTCGACATCAAGACGTATGACCATGAAAACTAAAAAGATTATAAGTATCAGAAATAGTGAATTTTACAACATATTATCTACACCGTCCATTTTCAAGATTTTTATATGTTTATAGATCTACTTGATTTTAACCATTTGTGAAATTTAAAATTTTATAATTAGATATAAAAATAGATTTTGAGACAATCCTAACAACATTTTACATCAAAATTATATACCATGATAAAATTTGAAGGTGCATCTTACTTCTACAGCTACGGATGCATCCGTATGCCAACTGCACCCTTAAGTAAAATGTAAAAGAAATGCATAATTTTCCTTTAGAATTTTTATTTTAAAAAAACACATCTACTTCCCCTAATCGGCTGAAGAGTGGAACCACTTCCCATTCCCGGTCAACACAAAAAGCCCTCCGAACCATATCTGATAACATTGGGTATAGTTCCCATTGACAAAGAATTACCTCATCTTGTAGCCCTTCCGTAAAATCCTTTTGTTGGTCTGTTTCACTGAACCATGTGAAGAAACTGAAATAAAAAGCAAACTAGTAAGAAAATGAGTTAATAACTAACAAGCAAAGCAGAAAGAAGATGTCCTTAGGACCAATGCCAAAACCAAGCCAAATATAAGGAACTCATAAGACATTAATCAAATTATTGGAAGGTCGTCACCTTCAAAAGGATTAAAAAAAGAACAGATAAAAAACAGAAAAAATGTCTTTCATCAAGAGGAAGTAGGAACTAACCTTTTACCTACAAAAATGTACTATCAATCAAGGTTTAAAAAAATGCCAATCCAGATTGGAACCAGCCAATCCGCATCAGGAAGCATCGGAGGCAAACTGGTTGCCCTCATGAAACAGTAGGTTCTGGCCAGTTCTCTGACCGAAGTAGGCCTGATTCTTTGACAAAACCAGTTGGTTCTATCAAAGAACTGGTCAGAACCGGCTCCACTTTTTTTTTCAAAATTTTATTTTTTTAATGATCAATTCAGTAGACCAGATTGCCGATTCACTAAACTAGATCGAAAATCTGGATGTGCAATCTGGGTCACCAATCAGTTTTTAAAAACCTTTGTATTAACCAAAGACAGATACAAGAATGAAACCCAACCTACACTCCTAAACAATTTTTTTAGGGTAATAATTACACCTAAGCTAGGGAAACTCTTAAACTCCTAAAACAATTTTTTTAGGGTAACAATTACACTTAGCTAGGGAAACTCCTTAACAATTCCATTAAGCTCACCGCACAATTCTTCTATTCCCCCTCCCTTCCTCGCATGTGATTGTGCAAATGAATACGCATCAAGGGGTGAGTAGTATGTTGTATATGCAGAGAGGGAGGGAGGGAGGATTAGTTTCATATCTTGAAAGTTTTAAAGGTCTTGCACATTTGTTGAACTAAAATCACAGGAAATATCTTTACGCTTCCACAAAAATCAAAACTAGTGACTGATGGTATTTTGGTACTCTTTTTAAAAATATATTTAGGCTTCCACAAAAATCAAAACTAGTGACTGATGGTATTTTGGTAATCTTTTTAAAAATATATTTAGGCTTCCACAAAAATCAATACTAGTGACTGATGGTATTTCAGTAATCTTTTTAAAAATATATTTAAACAGCTTCACTACTTCCTTGTTAAAAAGAGAAAAACAAATGAGAAATAACAATGCTATTTTTCTCCTGAACGAGTGTTAAACAAAAATAACGATGCTATTCTTCCCTAAATAATCTAAGACTTGCATGCTCAGATATAAGAAATACTAACCTTCCTTCAGAAAAGGGCCGCTTTTTTCCCTCCTTTCCATGGTTGATTCCATTTGAGACATCCTGTTAAGTAAAATTAGAACTACCACTGTTACAATTCACGTAAGAAATGAAAATCCACGTAAGACCAAACAAACAAATATACAGAGAAACATAAAGATCTATCTATATTACAGAAAGGGAAACTTACCATTCCTTCTTTCCATTTGATGGTGGTACCTGTGACCTTTGTGCTCCCATCATCAGAGAAGGTCAATGTCTTTATTAGCTTTGCATCCTCGAAGTAGGGGTTAGTGTTGAAGTTCTGAAGCATACAAGGCACAAACATGAGAGAGCTAAAACAGGTCTATGACTGTTCCATGAAAATAAATACAATTTTTTTTATAATACAGGAAAACAAATAAGTTCCCATCTAAAGATACTTAGACCAGTGGAAAGCAGACATCTATAATCAAAACTAATCATTGCAAAAATCATAGTCCACTTAGTCATGACGGTCCGTCCATTGAAATGTTAGGAGTTATAGAGAGCGGGTGGCATCCACCATAGGTGTGTCGCTTGCTTGAGTGGGGGGTCCACTGTCAATCCATCACATCCATTTCAATGGATGAGTGTGACCAATTGACCAGTGCTTTTTCCATAAAGAATGGGTTGAAGTGTACTTTTCATGCCAGTCAATAAGCTCAAGAACCACTAAATATTGTTCCATGTAAATTAGTGGTCTTCATGTTTCTCTATCTAGAAATGCCACTAAAATCATTTAATGAACAAAATATGAATAAAGCTCGAATAAAATCTCAGCATGACAAAAATCACAGAAACAAATTGTTCAATTTTTTTCTTTTAATAAATAAAGAGTGATAGACAAATGATTCAGATTGGCTTTAAAAAGGCTTCCAATGGAATAATCTCAGACTGGTGCACAGTAAAATATGAAAGTTAGGGAAAGTCATACCAGTCAAGTGGCACAGACAACATTTTTCCTTACGTATTTGTGTTGTATGCGTGCGCATCAGAGTCTGTTCAGGAAGGACAAGAGACTTACAAATGTGATAGTATACCCCGATTTAATGTCTTTTGAATCCTCAACGTCCAAAGAATGCAAGTACTTAAATATCTGCATAAGAAAACAGAGTAAGCTTGAAATTGATGCAGGGTAACGTGTAAAACAAAAATTCTTGGTTCTCATTCATTTCGCTTTTATTATCCTTTTTTGAAAAATGGTGGTAAATGAGAAGGATATTCCCATTTTGAATGATCAGCGAAGATAAAATGAGCTTCGCTGACAAAGTGAAGCTAATGGGATCATTGATTAAATATCAGGGACCGGTTCATCCCTGAGGCAAAGTACATAAAGCCAAAGGGGCAGACGTCCAGTCCCATGATTAAAAAAGGATAACAAATACGCATTAATTCCAAAAAGATAAAGAGAAAGAAGCACCCAATATGTTCAAAAATAGAGATAAAAACAATCAAGAGTTTAGAAAAGAAAAACCCTGTCTTGTGAGATGAGCGGGAATAAGCATGAAGAAAGAGGTGGAAGAAGAGAAACCCTACATTTGTGGGGCTAAAAGAATAAGAATGAAGAAATAAAAATCCTTATTTAGGTAGAAAAGAAAATATAGTTCTGGAAAATGAAAGGAGGTTGAAGGACTAAAACCCTAATTTTGAGCAGTGGCTAAATAAGAACAGCAAACAACTAGGGGCCAACAACACTACTTTATGCCTAGGGCGATACAAAACCACAACTCTAAATCCTTTTTCTTTTTTATTGTAAATTAAAAAACCAATATCTAAATTCAATTTGATCAGATATCATGGACCAATTTCTAAATTCGAATCAGGTGTCCATGTGTGTGTAGGTGGTTTGGATACAGACCTTCTGATCTTCTTCAGATAGGAGATCGCACAGTGCTGGGTGACTGAGAAACTACAAAACCAACAAAAGTTCAAATGGATATCATACAACAACTATCAATAAAACAAATTATCAAAAATAAATAAACAACTAAAAAGAAAACCATGGCCTAAAGCTCCATGTCTAGACTATTCAAGTAGCAACCTTGAATATATTAGTCAGGCTTATACAAAAAAAGAGAGTACATACCGCAGTCAACCAGAAGTCAGGTATCGTCTGAATGATTTCATTTCGTCTCCCATACACAGGTCTTCGTATCTCATTGTATTTTTGCTCCACCTCCAACACTTTATCACTGGCTTCCTCGTTCACCTAAAAGGGCCAACCAAAAAGAACAAGGCCACATGCAGAAGAAGTGCCATTAGTAAAAAAAAATTAACAAGTGACGACCAGGGGCACATAGTTACTAGGGCATTGATTAGAGAAGGCCAACAAGGTAAGTGCCATAAGACATGAAACTAGAAAAAAAGACAAATATATAGCACTTGAATGCAATTTTTAGCCCCTTAATCAGCTAGTATTGTTCATTATGTGTCTTCTTAGAAAGGTAAAATAAATGTATTTCATAAGATTCCACAGTTTTGGAACCCCCATCTGCGGTAAAATACAAAAACATATGTAATTTAAACAAACCAATAGTAGTTTACAATTTACCATATTCAAAAAATAGTAGTTTACAATTTCCATGCACATCCAATTTCGTAAGAACCCAAGTTTTCTTATTTATGCGATGATTTTTTTTTAAATCTGGACTGTATTTATATGATGAAATTAACACTTACAAGGGCACTCAAACTGAAGAGTCAGAGATCAATGAGATAGGCAACATTGAGTCAAAAAATTTTTGAATGCTACATCAATCAAGATTCATTCCATGGCCATAGTTTGAATTTGTGAAAAAACAAAGTAAAAAATAATTCGAATTTGTGGGGCATTTTATACGATCATGGAAAATCAGTAGAAACCGATACATGCACTATGAAAAATAACAATCGAAAAAAAGCGAGAAAAAAAAACACACAAAATGCAATATATTTTCTGGAAAAGTCTACTCCCCCTCACCCATCCCTTTATCTTAGGTCTCTCTATTTCTCCCTTCTTTTACTCACATTAGACTCCTAGCTTTACCCTTTTTCTCCTTTAAATTCTTAGAGAGAGAGAAACACAAATGAAAAATGGACCATAAACACTCGAGCTGAATTCCTTGGAGAAAAAACATAGCATAAACATAGAAGAAATGCTTACCTTCTCCAGTTCATCCTGGATTTCCTGGAGCTTCTCGATTGAAAGAACCAGTTCTCCATCAATGTGGTCCGATACGTCATCTTCAACTGGTTGAGCTTTGGATTTCTTTCCCTTCTCAACCATGGCTGAACCTCGCAAAACCCTAAAAACCAAATGAATAATAGAAACCCAAATAAACCCTATATCACCAAAATAAGGCTTCGAAAAAACTCCTCTCCAATGAAGCTTAAATACCGTAAAAACCTCAAAAAGAGCACCTATACAACCAGAATAAACATCTACATCTGATAAAGCTGCTCTCAGATGAAGCTTAAATAGCCCAAATAGCTAACCCTAAATAGAAACCAAAGACTGCTGCAAAAAAATATGAAAAAAACCTAAACACCATTAAGAATCTACTGCAAATGCATGAGAAAGGCCATAAAATACCTTATCAACACTGCAAAAATAAATAGCTTCCCAATTAGCAATTAATTTGTGGCCTCTTCGCAGTAACTCGAGCCATGAAACCCTAAAACCTTGCGTCTCAACCTTAAAACCCTAAACCCTAATTCTCCCCTAAATCCCTAGCCCTAACCCCACTCAATTTCTTCTAAAAAAAAACACTCGGCGCTGAAGTACCATGAGCTCTAAGCTTTGATACGAGTGCCACGTGTCAACATCGGGACACGTGTATGGACCAAATGAGTGGGCCCCTATTTGTCGATGGACAAACGGCCCAGATATTTTGTTTATAATGATCAGCGACTAAGATTAACGAGGGAATTGGAGTCGGGGAATCACAGCCGTTTGAAGTTTCCTGATATTGGCTCTTGAATGGACGGTCCAGATGGTCATCTTTTTAGATCGTGGGTCTCAAACCGTTGGATTTCACCGATGTCCGCTCTCCAGGCTAGTCTTGCTGAAATTAGCGAGCAAATGTAACGAAATTTCGGTCTCTAATTTGAATTTCGGAACTTTTCGTCTAGGGCATAGATGAGATGGAATGAAGCGTTGGCTTGAATGTTAGGTTTAGTATAGTAATCTCATCGTGTTTTTCAAAACCCATATAAATGGGTGGATTGTTCACCCTATCGATCTGTATTGAATCCCGGACTGATTTGGCTTGGTCTGATCCAATCATCATCATCATTACCATTATCATTGAGTCTGATCCAATTGTCAGGGGTCGATTATATAATTCATATTCTTCCATTCTGCTCTATCAAGAACAAACTATAAATTATTATTATATCTCTTCTTACTACTTTCATATGTCTTTTCACACCATTCTCTAGCCCCCTATTATATATAGCCTTTTAGTTACAAATTCACCCCTCCTAATCGGTATTGCATTAGGTCTACACTGCATATGTTCACCCCTCATAACTGGTATTGTATTAGGTCTACGTTACACATGCTCAGCCTCTTAAGTCTAGTTTCCCTCATCTTATTGCTTATTGGTACCACCCCTCCATTTTTTCATATGTATTCATTCTAAATTATATCATTGAATTGCCACTCATCCATCTCAATATCATCATCTCACATACACTCATTCTATAGATGCGTTGTTTCATAACCTCCCAACATTGCATCCCATAAAAGCATGTCTCATATTACAACTATCCTATAGAACTTCTAGTTTAATTTCATAGGTACACGGTGACCACATAAAAGTTGCGATGTACATCTCCACTTAACCCACAAATCTAATTATATACGTGGTTGTCGTACGTCATTTTTAACGTACTTATCTTTCCCATACGAACAAGGAGAGGGCCGGCAACAGCTTGGCCCTACGGGTACACAAGACACCGGTAGGCCAAAATTGTGTCGTAAAATAAAGCCTCGAGACATACGATCTGAGTACGGTGCCATCGCACTAATGAATGACCTTACAACTATAGCCCTATGCTAACGGCTTCAAAACTATACCAGACCACCACCATCGCATTCGGAATGTCGAAAAAACCCCGAGGACCAAATTCGGGCTCAATCGGACCACTTTAAAGGAGTCTACGCCCATGCGGCCTTACAACAGGCAAGTTTCACAGTAGTGCGGTGCGGCTTCAGCAAACTAGTCCTCAAACATTTAGACTGTGACATTGTGTTTAAGGAGTAGCTTCAAGGACCCATGGCGCCTTCCACTGAAACCAAGAAAAGCCCAGATCCATAGATGTTCTAGATCGCGTCAACCTCGTCATTTTGACCTATAGCATGCACTATGGCACGACCTATAGTCAAATTTATCATGGAAGGAAGGTGCCCGCAAAACGATAAAAAACTAGGCTTTTAGAAAAAGAAGCCTCTAATCCAGTGAAGCAAACCTCAATATCCAAGCATCAGATCACCGTGGGGACGAGTTCAATGCAACCATCTTGCGAAGAGCTACAAATTGGCTTGCATTTAATCTAAAGTCCGATGGATGCAAATCCTCAAGTCACATAATAAGTAAATCCGTTAGGTTGTCGAAACTCCTCTTTCCGGCATCCTCCCAAATTAGGCAAAAAACGCAAACCAGAATCAAATCAACCCAAACTTGGTGCAAAATAACTGCGACTGTCTCCTCTATCATTTGCAAGCAAAGCCAGGAGCTAGAACAATGCGAGTCGAACTGCATTGGCACGCAAATATCACAAATCTGACCGGACTTCCACCCCGTAGGACAAATGTTACCCCAACACGATTAAATGGCATCAAAATTGGCAAAATAGCAAGGACAATGACGATATGCTGACGAATCATCTGAACTATCGCCACAATTTTCAGAAAAAGCTTCCAAGGTCTAGCCATGGCAGAATGAGCTTCATGCAGGGACGCTTCGTCATTAGCAAAAACGATCTCAAGGACATTTTGGTCATTATGCCTAAATTCGGGATTTATTCCTAATTTCTTAAATTGTAATTAAGTCACTTGTAAAAGGGCTGAGATTTTGACCCCTTATTCTCTTTAGGCAGAGCATCCACTCATTATAAAACAGAGGCAATACGTTTGTCGTCTTGTTGTTTGTTTATAAGTCATCAATCCCGTGGAGATGAGATAGAAAACTTTGAGAGAGATAAAGTACCCCTTAGCGTGCCGGTCCGTAAACACCTCCAAGTGCGCGGACCTGTCTTCCCTCTCTCATAAACCGGGTCACGTCCTAGCCTTTCTCTCTCTCTCTCTCTCTTCTGCAACGCACCATCTGCCATGTGCAGTAACCCGCGTCTTCAACAGATGCGTGGATGCGAGCGAACCCACGGCCCCAACCCTCAGGTCCTCTCGTGCCCCTCCATCTGCCAGGCAGCTCCCTCGAGATGATAGCCATATGGGGGGACAGTCGGATCCCATACCGGTCCTAAGCGACGAAGAGAGAGTAGAGAGGTTGCAAGCTTGAATATAGTATTTGTCCAAACCGCACTGACACATATCCGGAGGGTTTCGTGACTGTTATAAGAGGGTTGATCGTCCGGACATGTCCCCCGAACCCTAAGGGGTGAGACTAGCATCCCAAAGTGCCCCCGTCGTAAATTCTCTCTCATTGTTGGTACCTATCAGCATCAAGGGTCCCCCGCACCCGGGCGCACCCACACCGGGGTGTGCCCCCACCTCCACGTGCGAGCGACCCCACAGTTGTCCGAGAGAGGGTTCTCTCCCGACCCTGAGAACAAGGTCCGACCAGTAGAATCATCCTCAATATCTCAATTCTCATGGATTGTCGACCTATACCTAAAATAATAATTTTAAGTATTTATTGGTCATCTATCTTAATTATTTAATGGGAAAAGTTTATATAGAGTTGAGGCTCTAAACAATTAAATTGTGGGCCTACCTCAAAATTTTCACTAAAAGAGGTTGTTTTGATGCTTGAATATCCTCAAATTGACCATATCGACATCAAGATTCATGGACATGAGAAAAAAATAGATTTCAAGTTTCATAAATAGTGTATTTTGTAACACATTTTTTGACAATCAATTTTCAAGATTTTCAAGTTTTCATAGATCTGTCGATATACACTATTTTTTAAGCTTTAAACTTTATAAATAAAGATGAAAATATATTTCAAGGCTATCACAAAGATTTCCAATATTGAAACCACATTTCTCGACACTGTTGGAAGGAGGGCTCTAATTTGATATCTCAACACTATTTGAAGGTAGACTCTAATTTGATTGTTTATAGCCTAGGCTCTATACAAACTGTACCCTTATTTAATTGATTCTATTTCTATTATTAATAGATTTATATTCCATATATTATGTATTACTCTGGCTAGTTTTAAAATATTTAGATTCTCGAGCATCTCTTCAAAGTTATAACTTTGCGTTGATGCCGCCTCTTGATTGTCAATCAAAACCATATAAAAAAAAACACAAATAATAATAAAAAAATTAAGATTCGTTTTATAGGGTGCAGAGTTTGGCAGACACGATAACATATTAGATAAGCTTAAAAATATAATATAAAATGAGGGGATTTATGTGGAATTGGGTTGGACTTGTAATTGATTCAGTCCCGACCCATTCCTATATGGATCAAAAATCACTAGGTTTCAAAATACTTATCTCATTGAAAATAGAAGTGATGATATTCAACTATTTATTTTGATTTCAAAAGTTATTGACTATGGTTTGGATGAGAGAGCATGGAAGATTGATCGTGTAAAATGTGCGGGTTCAAAAGCCTTGAACTGGTTTAAAAATCATTTATCCTAATCGAGCAATATTATTAACTTGAATCAAAATCATTGGGATTTTTGTCCAAAACTAGAAATCGACCTAGTCGAGCATTGTTTTGTTTCAATGGCGTGTTGTTTTGGTCGAAGTTTTGAGTAATGGGAGACCAAGTCCCGGACTTCCACGTTTGTTGCAAGCTTGCAACTTCCATGACTAAGTCCACGTTTGTTACCTGAGAGAACTAAATGTCACCATGTCACCTCTTAAAATCTATTTTTTAGATGGATTTTTAGACTTAATTTTTAAAGATATGTAATCTCCAACACAAAGATCATGAATATGAAAAATAAATAAAATTTTAAATTTTAAAATAATAAATCTATTAATAAAATATTTGGACTGTTAATTTCAATTGTTTTTAGATGGACCACCTATTTGCATCCATCTTAAAGATGGATGCTTTATACCTTCAGATTGTATATTGTAGAAATGCGGTCTAGCCCGTATGAAACAATCTTCATTTTCTATTTTATAGCTTTTAAGACTTGAATATTATTATTTTAGTTTTTTTTTTTTTACCAATTCCCACAACATAGAAATGGACTGATACCCCCAAGATTGGCAATCCATACTCATTGAGCTAGCGGTAACCAATCTAGCCACCACGTTGAGGCTTTAAAACAGTGGTAGCATATATTGGAAAATTGGCAAGCTGAATCACTCAACTCAACAAGGGGTGGCAACATATTGGGACCAGCCAAAGTTAGATTTGATCGGACCCGATTGGACTTAGACCAGACCCGACCCATATATAT